GCTCCCCACCCCAGTTCACCTCTGCTACGCCCCCTCCCCGAGCACGCCGTTGCTGCTCCACTTCTCGCACCAATCAGCTCTTCGGTGCCACAAGCCTGGGAGGGAAGGAGAATTAGAGCAGGGGCAGCGTGCTCGGGGAGGAGGCGGAGCAGAGGTGAGCTGGGGTGGGAGCTGCTGCACGGCTCCCCGGCGTTGGGGGAGCTGCCGTGGTGGGGGCGTCTCAGGGTGGGGGGGAGGGAGCGGGGCGGGCGCAAGGTGGAAGTTTCGCCTAGGGTGCGAAACTTCCTTGCACTGGCCCTGGCGGTGCCTACCTCATGCGCCGACTGTCTCTCAATAGCATGCGCAACCCGGGCTCCTCAGTTCCTTCTCTACAACGGAGACTGCTTCAAAGTAGAGGGAGGAGGGTGGGTAGTGGAGCACCCAGGGACACTCATCTTGAACAACGTCAGTTACTGCACAGGTGAGTAACCTCCTCTTCTTCGAGAGATGTCTCTGTGGGTGCTCCACTCCAGGTGACTGAAAAGCAGCATCTCTTAAGGAAGTAGGGACTTCGGATCTGATATGAAAACTGTAGACAGCACACCTCAGCCCATTTGAATGTCGACCAGGGGACCCTGAGTAAGAGCATAATGTTAAGCAAAGGTATGCTCTGAAGCCCAGGTGGCGGCTTTACAAATATCCGAGAGGGGAACGTTACGTAAGAATGCCAAGACGTTGACACAGATCTGGTGGAGTGTGCTCTAACAGAAGCTGGAGGTTTATCTTCTTTAGTTGGTAGCACAGGCGGATGCAGTCTGCTATCTAATTGGATATTCTCTGGGTAGAGATGGATTTGCCTCTGGATCGTTCTGCGATTGAAATGAAAAGTTTAGGGGAAGCCCTAAATGGCTTAGTCCTATCGAAATAAAAGGACAATGCTCTGCGCACGTCGAGTGCGTGCACTGCTGATTCAAAAGCGTTCGCATGCGGTTTAGGAAAGAAGACTGGTACAGTGATAGATTCATTGAGGTGGAAGGAGGAATGCACCTTCGGGAGAAATCTAGGATGTGTTCGGAGCGTCACTTTGTCCTTAAAAAATATAGTGTACAGTGGTTCAAACATAAGCGCTACAAGTTCTCCTATACATCTGGCAGATGTAATGGCAACTAAAAATGCCGTTTTCATGGATAGATGTAGGAGGCAGCATGTTGCAAGCGGCTCAAATGAATGGTGCATCACAGATATGAGGACCAAGTGCAGGTCCCAGGGTTGAGTGGGTGGTCTAATGTCCAGGTATAGCGTCTGGAGGCCCTTGAGGAACCGTGTTGTGATGGGGTGGGCAAAGTGAGTAGTGGCGCCGGTCTTATTGTGAACCGCCATAATTGCCATTAGATGTACCTTTATGGAGCTAAACGAGAGCCCAGATAGTCTAGCATTAGTGAAAGAGGGGCAGAAGCAGGAGCGGTTTACTTGGCGGAGCACCAGTGAATAAACCTAGTCCATTTATGGAGATAGCAGAACAAAATCCACATGTACCACCTATGTAATAGTACTCTTTGTACATGTTAAGAGCAGTCTAGTTCCTCATTAGAGAGCCATTGAGGAGCCATGCTTTGAGGCACAGCATTGTTACACTGGAGTGGTGTAGTTGACCCATGCATTGTGATAAAAGGTTCGGAAGGGGGGGAGGAAGTGGAATCGGCAGGCAAACTGACATCCTCTTTAAAAATAGGTACCATGCCTGTCTGGGCCACGTAGGGGTTATTAGTATGACCCTGGCCCTCTCCGCTCACCGTTTTTGCAATACCCTATGAAGAACTGGTATCAGGGGGAATGCGTATAGGAAACTGTCGTTCCATTTGATGATGAATGTGTCTCCCATTGAGTGCTTTCCTAGGCCCGCTCTGGAACAGAATTTCGGGCATTATTGTTGGTTACCATTGCAAAAAGATCCAGTCGCGGGTAGCCCCATATTTTGAATATGTTGTATCGTTTATCTCCCATTCGTGATCTACGGGAAAAGATCTGCTGAGCTCATCATATCATTAATAAAATCCATGAGTTTCCCGTAATTTCTGTGATCATATTTGGCCAGTAGGGCCGCGTAGTTTGCGACTCTAAATTGTAGCGTATATGATGCATAAACTTTGCTGCCGCGTAGGTCCATTCTTTTGCTGTCCTTGTCAGAGAGAGTGGACAGGAAATGCTGCTGTTTGTTCAATTGGTTGGCTGTTTCTACTACCAGTGAATTTGGTGCTGAGTGCATGAAAAGGAATTCTGAGTCCCTGGAGGGGACATAGTATTTCCGGTCTGCTCTTTTGCAGGTAGGGGGTATGGTGGCTGGGGTTTGCCCGATATTCTTGACAGGTCCATAATGGCTCCATTAATGGGTAGGGCGATCTTAGAGGAGGTTGATCAGCTCATGCTGAGTCTCCAATACCTCCTCTAGAATGATCTTGAGCTCATTAGCCATTCTTTTGAAGAGGTCCTGAAAATGAGTAAAATCATCTGCTGTTGTGGGGGGCGGGGGAGGGGCATAATAGCCTTGTCCAGTGAGGTGAACGAATTAGTATTATTTGGAGAGGATTCAGGTGCTTCCTCGTCTGCGTGCACCATTGCCGGTTGCTCCTGTCCATCCGTCGCCGAAGCGTGCACAGGTACAGGAGGAGATCTAGTGTTGCCTTTGCGTGGGCTGTGCTGGCTACTGTGGTGCCTGCTGTAGGACACCCATGAGTTCCAGTGATGCCATTGTCCGGGGAAGGGCATGGGTGGTCCCATCCACAGGTGTCCATACCAGGGTGGTAAGTCCCTGGAATATGAGGGCCTCCGTCTCCTTGGTCCAATACTAGCAGAAGTGTGAAGGAGAGAGGAATTGTGTGGTGAAAAAACTCCCTCCACTTCATCGTCCTTATCACTAGAAAAGTGAGAGGGTACAGGGGACAGCTGTCGGTGCCGCACCGACTCTTCCAGTGAGAGATCGGTACCAAGCATTGGGGAATCTGGAGTTGGCGAAATTAGCAAATTGCGGGAATGAATAAATTGTAGTGCAGAGGTAGAAGGAGCTGGAATATATTGCGCTGGGTGCACCAGCAGTGCCGCAGTGTCGGCCAGTGCTGATTGGTGCGGCGCCGTATGCGGAGTAATAGGTGGTTGAGGTGTCGGTGCTGGGACTGCAACCGTCCTTGTGCGTGGCACGAGCAGGCTCAGCTGAGTTGGCACCGAGTCCTTTGCACTATAGCGGTGTGGTGCCATATTAGAAGAGGCAGGCAACTTTAAGCCCATAGCCTCGGCACCGGAGTGGTGCGTACCGGCAGCAGCTGGGGTACAGATGGTGCTGGAGGTCCCCAGAGCATCGTATGCGCTGAACCGTGGAGTGGTGAGCACTGACGAAACAGACCTGGCCGGAGACCGTTTGGATGCCCGCTGGTCTCTGTGAGGTGATGAAGCTGGCCATTTTTTTTGTTTTCTTGTCCTTAGTGGACTTAGGAGAGCTGTATCTCGAGTAGGACTCCTGATCTGG